CAATTAAATTGCTTTATTTTTTTTTCCTGAGCTGACAAACGAATAATTTATCGTCCAAGCATCGGAAACTTTGCGTATTCGTCTATGTGCATTTTTTTCATTAACCAGATTTTTTGAACTATTAGTTACAATTCCAATATATATTTACGTAATTTTTATATTCGATTTAATTCTAAACCAAGTTTTGATAGTCTGTGATTGTTCGTTATGACCATATCATAGTTTAGCGGGGCACAACACTATCGTAAGTAGATGGTACCTATCCATAAAGTAAAACAACATCCGTATGACAGATTTAAAAAAAATACGTCGCTTATATATATATATATATATATATATATATATATATATATATATATATATATATATATATATATATATATATATATATATATATATATATAAGAACAACGATGCTATAACGCACACAATACGGGGCGGCGCGGCTTAAGAGAATCTACAACCACGTTGTACCAGGAGTGTCGTAAAGGGCGACTGAGGGAAACTAAAACAGATGGCAGCAGTATCTTCTTAGTTTAGTTTGATAATAATAAAATAAACTATACGATTGACATCCCTATTGCAGGCCTAATAAAAAAATCTAACGCACTTACTGTGTGCTTAGGTGAGCTATGTGAAAAAAAATATTGGTAAATGTACTGTGCATTACGGAACATTTTATTTTATCAGAAACAACTGTTTGTACTGAATTATTGTCTGGCTACTTATTATTAGAAAGACGCAAGGGAGGGATGGTGCATGCATTCTTGTGAGAAACGGTCTTCAATTTAAGGATCTACCTAAAATATCGTGTTTATCATCTCCAGGCATATTTGAATGTTGTACTATTGAGCTTACCGATTATAAGATAATTGTCGTGTGTATATATAGAGTACCAAATGTGAAAAATCTTAACTACTTTCTGGATAAACTAGAAACTCTTTTTGCAAGGAATATCGCATTCACGATATACAAACACTGTTGTTGGTGGAGACTTTAATATAGATGTTCTTAAAGAAAATAATCAAATGCTTCAATATTTATTAATTAGATATAATTTGAAACTGGCATTAAAACAACCGACCCTCATGGCTAGCTTAACATGTTTAGACAATTTTGCGCACAATTTTAATAAATCATTTAAGGCTGATGTCTTCGAGTTTGCGCTGTCCAATCATACAGCACAGCTGCTGCACTGTCCAGTGCAAAAATATGCAATAAACTTTTGATATACGCCTAGAAGGGATTATAATATGGAAAACATAACGAAATTTAAAGATAACATAAAACGTATCTCTTTTTCGGAAATATACGATACAGATGATCCAAACGCAGCATATAATAAATTTATCGATACGTTTAGACTTATTTAAGATTTATGTTTTCCGATTAAATTGATTAAAGTAGATATAATAAAAAAACCAAAGTGGTTGTCTAAAGGAATTAAATTATGCAGTCGAAAGAAAAGAAAACTTCTGTGGCAGCTAAGATTAAATCCTAACAGTAAGAACCAAATTTTATTTTCAAATTACTCGCAGTTATATAAAAAATTATTAGATTGACACAAAAGGCACAAAATAACCAAAAAATAAAAGCATCTAAAAATAAGTCTAAAACAACTTGGTAAATTATTAAACGAATAAAATACAACTTATCTACACGCAGTATTAATAAAATTAAGGTAAATGATCAAACTCTATCAAATCCTCAGTGCATCGCTGAAGCATTGAGAGCACGAGGGATCTGTGACAGTAAACACCTGGCTGCCGAGCTCCAACACGTCAAGCAAGTTTTGTATGACAACAAGCTTCGGGTCCCGCGCCTATATCACAGAGAACGAGTGAAGCCGGCCACAGTCGAGCGTGTACCTGCTGTACTGCCATATGTTAGAGGAGTCACTGACAAGATTGGCTACATCTTGAAGCGCGCTTCCATCAAAACATACTTCAAGCCGCCGAAGAAGATTGGTCAGTTTTTACCATCAGTCAAGTGTAACGTCCCTCTGCAAGATGCAGGAGTGTACAAGCTTGATTTTGAATGTGGTCTCTCCTAGATAGGACAAACTAAAAGATGAATTAAATCCCGCGTTAAAGAACATATAGCTGATGTGAAGAATCGACGCTCTGGGAAGTCTGCAGTCTGTGAACACATACAGGATCGCCCCCCGTCACTACATCAGATTTCATAGACCACAAATCCTCGCTAAAGAACACCAATTCCTTCCAAGGATGATTCGCGAGGCTATTGAAATCAAAAAACATCCTAATTTCAATAGAGAAGATGGCTGGGTGCTACCATCTGTTGGGATCCTATAATAAATAAAATTAAATCCCAACCAAAGCATACAACTGCAAGACTTCATGATACCATAAGTTTCATAATGTGTAGATCGGAACAAAAGTTAAATTTTAATCTATGCTAACCGCGGTTAACTATGACATCTGGACGTTGAACATCTCAGCCCTTCCCGTGATCATGGGTGCTGTATAGCTCTCGAAACGTCGGGTATTTAAAAAGTTAAATATACGCGATAAATTCCATAAAAACTAGTATTATTTCAATGTGTAGTGTTCGCGTAAATATAAGAAATCATTATGGCCATATATGACTTTACATAAAATATTATTAACAATTTCGATAAACGTAGACATGCCTGTGGCATATTTTGCGACATGACAAAGGCATTTGATTATGTAAATTACGCTACTTTTAGAAAAACTTGAAGCCTATGGCATTAGAGGCAATGTTCTTAATCTTACTTAAAGAATAGAATACAAATAACTGAAATTAATCAAATTAATATAGCAAATAAAAAGGAAGAGATATTTCGACCGTCAAAGCGCGAAGTTAAATTTGGAGTACCACAGGGGAGTGTGCTGGGTCCTTTTATATTTATATTGTACATCAATGACTTACCTAAATGCATTGAGCAACCAGTAACACTGTTTGCGCATGATACCATAGTGACCATACCATTTAAAAATGTAGAGACCTATGGAAATGACATTAATAACTCCTTACAATTAGTTGTAAACTGGTTAGACGAAAACAATTTAAAAATAAACTTAAATAAAACAAAAGTCATCCATTTCAGTCAACGGATTGCTAGCATGAGCCTAAATGTACACTACAATAGTGATGTTGTAAAAGAAGTTGAAACTGCAAAGTTCGTGGGTCTCGAAATAGATAAACATCTTAACTGGAAAGCACACATTAATACTTTATGTAAAAAAAATTAGTAAAACCGCATATGCTTTACATATTTCGTCTTCAATAGTATACACGGATGCACTCCTCACTGCTTACTACGGCTTAGCAGGATCCCACCTCCGATATAGAATAATATTTTGGGGTAACTCAATAGAAAAAGAATCAGCGTTTAAGGCTCAAAAAAGATGCATAAGGGCGATGTTTAAGCTTAAAACTACCGATAGTTGCATGCCATATTTCAAACAGTATAAATACTGACATTACCTTGTTTATACATACTAGAAGTAGCAGTGTTTGTTAAATTGCATCCAAAACGTTTTGACCTTGACCAAGTAAGTCCACGTAATAGACGCGACAATACCCTTTTGTGTCAATAATCCGCTAAGACAGCACTAATGCGCAAAAGTATATACTGCATGGCTCCAGTCATATATGATAAAATACCAAAAAAGTTGGAAAGAATTGCCGCTATTGATTTTAAAAAAGGCTTCGTAGCTTCTTGACAGTCAAAACATACTATAGCGTAACAGAATTCTTGACTGAAAAAAAATTATTTTGAGATTAAGACTGTATAATGTTAAAAATTTGAATTATGTTTGTTTTTGGGTTATTATTTTATTTTGTTATAGCTGTTTTGGTGATTAATTTATATTTCTGTATATTTTGCATGCCTACTGGCAAAATATGGCTGAACTCACTACCTATATTTCCATGTACTGTACCCATATTTGCAAAATAAAATATCTTTATTTTTATCTTTATCTTTATCCCTCTGAGCTAGTGTATCAAATATGCCAAATATTCTCGGCGTGGTTATTGCAGGTCCGTGCTTCGTGCTATTACTTTGAGGAGGCCTAGCTTGGCCTGAAAATTTGTAAAAGGCAGTAGTGAAGAAATTAAATGATCATTATAATTTCATTTCATTTTTAAACGATATCTACAGTGAAAGTGAAATCTTAACATGTATATTATTTTTATGCGGAAATTATTAGTTCCTTAATGTATTTTTATGATAACTACAAGATATTTTCCATAATCTAATCTTGCATAACGTGCACTTACTTATATTAACTGCACATAGAAATCGTGAACGCAAATACCCACTTAATTAAGCGTAAAAAGCTAACAGCTTTTTTGCTGCAAATCAATTCTTATGATATAATTGTGTATTCTAACAGCACTTTATTTGATAAATGACTTTTATAGGTTGTCTTTTTGATTTCAAAGGAACTTTCCCGCTAATATTCAGAAAAAAATATTACCACAAAATCTATATTTTTATATATGGTTATTAACAGCAACTTTATTTTAGGTTTTTTCATTTTGAAAATATTTCTAGCTCTAATAAAAGTAACTTTTTTGTTGGGTATCTATGAGTAGATATTTTACTGATAAAAATAAACTTAATTTTTACTGGATTAAGCTATTGGCGGACTGTGTTTTAAATGATACATTCGCAGTCTACACAAGCATCGCAAATCGTGCTACTAGTGATGTGATCTAGTGATGGTATGTATAGTATTAATAATAATTATTATTTATAATAATAGTATATAACAATAAGAACGTTGGAAAATCGAAGAATGCGTAAAGGACCACTGCCTGAAGGTCGCACAGGGCACGTCTGCAGCTGGCGCTGGACGCGACACCATGAGGGCTGCCAGCCGAGCGCGAGGTGCTGCACGACCACTCAGCAGCACCTCGCATCCATCATCCCCACCAGCTGGCTTGGTGTCGGCAGGGTCTTCTCGGACCCAGCATTCGGCACCGGCATTGTTGGAGTACACCACATGCGATGGACAATCCATATGAATAGGAACGCATTGCAGGCGTACTTCAGGGCGAAAGAGGAAGCGTACCGGGTTATGCATCGCTTTTTTCCTGAGCCGGAGCCGTCCATTACCATTACGGAGTTGAAAAATGATGACCTTGAACTCGAACGGCTACGACATGCGGCTGTTCCCCCATCAGATGAAAATGCTACGGCTGGGGATGCGGCGCAAGTCGCACACGCGGATTCCTCCATGAAATTTCCAGCTGTGGTTGATTCAGATTATGATGGAATAGCCACCTATGAAGTAGAGAAAACGGGAAGTACATTGGAGGAAGCGATTACGGAAAGGCGCAGTACACTTCTCGAAAACCACAACTTCCCTGCAAACCCTTAAGCAAGTGGATTAGGGCTGTCATGAGGGCTCTAAACTCAATGCTGGGGACCTATTTGAAAGCCAACCGGGACCTTTGCCAGATGGTGTCAGTTTTTCCCAGCCGGATATAATGCATAAACTAACGGAGCGCATTGACAACCTGAAGCAAAAAAACTGATGCTTGGGAGAAGCGAATTCGACCATATACCGAGAGGTCAAGGCGTTTCAACCAGAATCGCCTCTTCCAGACTAATCAGAAGAGGCTCTTTAAATCACTGAAACGGCCATCGATACGGGGACGGGCCGGGCCATGGGACGGGCCAAGCACCGAATCAGACCAATACTATCGCCTTCTGGCGAAGCCTGTGGTCGGAGTCCATTAACCATAGCGAGGGCCCTTGGACGGAATTTGTGACGAATCAGAGTGCGAGTATTACGCGAGGCAGTCCGTAGAAACTGGAATCTGGAGCTCAAAAGTCGACGATTTAACGAGTTCGACAGTTCCAGGAGGCTGTCATACAGAAGTCGCTCCCCAGCCCCTTTACTACTGAGATCTCTTATTTGGTGTTGTGTTTGCAATATACACGTTTGTTGTCGAGACAACAGCTGATTTATTCTTCTGCATAAGTACCTGCCTATACAATAATACAAATACCCACAACATAAGCCCTTATTTACAAAGATACAATATTCATTCAAATGTCTTTTGTACGCCGATGATCAAGTTATATTTGCATCGTTGGCGGCCGAGTTACAAATGATGGTTAAATTAATGAACAGGTCGTCGTCGTTCGTTTTTGAAAGAGAAGAAATTAAAAAGATATGTGAAATAAGAATAAAAAGAGATTTGATCGAGCAAGTAGATGAGTTTGTTTATTTGGGATACGTATTTAGCAGGGATGGGAGATATGATAATGATATAGAACGACGAACGCAGGAAATAGAGTAAATGGGGCTCTACACTATATTATAGAAAAATAGAATGTGTGTAAAAAGGCACGTATGGCAATTCAAAATGCTGTGTTAGCCCCTACTTTATCATATGGTAGTGAAAGTTATGTATGGCAGAAGAAGCACAAGAGTAGAATAAACGTAGTAGAAATGCCGTCGTTATCGCGCGATCAATGAAATTATAAATTTTTGTTCTGATCTACACAGTATAAACTTATAGTATCTTGAAGTTCTGCAGTTGTGTGCTTCCCAAGCAGATGGTGGCACCCATCTTCTATATTGAAATTAGAATGATTTTTGTTTCAATAGCCTCGCGAATCATTCTAGGAAGGAATTGGTGTTTTTGAACTCATATAGGTTATATATTTAACTCATATATTTAACTCTTATATTTAACTCATATTTTGAACTCATATAGGCTGAGCGCCGGGTTGATACAGGCGTTAAAGTCTCTGTATAGGGACTCGAGTGCTTGTGTTAGGATCAACGAGGCCTACTCGGACAGGTTTGGGATCCATAAATGATAGATAGGGCTGTTTGGCTTCCCCGTGGTTGTTCAACCTATTTATGGACAGTTGTTTGGAAAATTTGAAAGTTGAAGAATGCGGATTAAGAAAAGGTGAGCTAGCCATCAAATACCCTTTGTACACCGCTGATCAAGTTATTTTTACGTCGTCGGCGGCCGCATTGCAAATGATGGTTACATTAATGAACAGGTCTTAAAAAAGGCAGGCGTATGAAAGTGAACGCCAGTAAGACGAAAGTGGATGGTTTTTAAAAGAGAAGAAAGTAAAACAATATGGGAAATAAGAATAGAAGGGGAGTTGATGTGAGTAGATAAAACGGCAGAGTCAAAGGGACATCCTAGATGAAATTATATCGACCAAATTAGGGGTATATTAAAATGGGCCAAATTAGGAGTACCCTTAACCGACGAGCATGTATGCGTAGGTATATGGATGTGGAGGAGGCGAGACAGGTATGTCAGGATCGTGCCAAATGAAAGTCTGTATTCTCTGCCTACCCTCTGGGTGAAAGGCGTGAGTGTTTCTGTTATGTTATGTTTTAATTATAATTTAGGGTGCTTTTAAGAAAATTGTGGGGTTCAGTTCGCAAGCACCTAAAGTTTTGGTAATAAATTTATATTTTATTGTATTACGAGCAACCATTTTATAATGTTGAGTTATTTATTAAGGAAAATTTATAAAGGAAAAATTTTGTTACATTCGTACCACATTTGTTTGATTTAATATGGCGCTTTTGAAGCTAGTGGCTCTATGTATTTCAATTCAAAATAAATATTATTTTGTATCTCTCTTTATCATGTAGTGATTGATACTTTAGAATATTTATTTTGTGATTTTATTATTTAAGGATCTTAGAAAAATGATAGTTATTGGATCATTGTTCGATAAAAAGTAAATAATAACACACAACCGAATTTTCACAGGGTAATGATTCATGCTTATTGACTATTGGATACAGTGTTAAAAATTATATCATCAAATACAGTACAACGTCTCAATGGTAATAAACACACAATTGCAAAAAAGATTGACACAATGCTAAGTTTGTATAACCTATCATTATGTAGTCATATTTTATTTTTGTATTTTTTTAGATGTATCCGTTATATAATCGAGTTTTTTACCTTGTTTACGCGCTTTTTCAAATAAGATTTTATTAAATGGTGCCAGGTAGTCATTATCAAAAACGGTTTTGTTGCGCCGTCCAGACCTAAGTCAGCTGTAGTAAAGTCAAGGTACGAACGCACTGCCGCCAACATATCTAATTTTCTTTTTCTTTGGGTTTATCTTATAATGACATTCGGGATGTCAGATGCCTCTCAATAATATTCTATGGTTTTCTTAATATGATCATGCGAGGATATCACCTGACTCTGTGAATGTAGAAGACATCAAAGAGTGATATTATAAATTGTATCTTAGTTGCGATACTGTTTAGGACGACATTGAAGTTTTCGCCTTTCTCAATCGCAATCTCCAAATTATTCAATCGACCTTGCTTGTCTCTGTGTATGGGGTAGTAATGACGTGGTTCACACAATTATTTTTTTAGGATGCATATGATTTCATTTGTTTTTTTTAGGGCCATTATGTTAAGATTAGCGTCATTAATTTCACAGGACATGTTTGCGGTAGTTTTATTAAAGTAATACACCTACAGATTCACATCACTAACATCCTCACACAACTTGCATATTTTGTCAAGCAGTTCCTTTGGCGATACCATCATACTTTGCAGAAAAGTTGCAGACGACTCGGACATTTCGCGGCAATATGGAGAAAACTAGTTACTCAGCTCTTCACAAAATGTAGTGATTTCAATATCTGAGAATTTTTTTCTTTCCGATTTTTATGTTACGCTCTACCGAGACCGGGATATCATCAGAGTCAGACCTATTCTTGCGAATAAGCCTGATATTGTGTTGATGGACTGAGTGCAGGCAAGGATATTTTTGGTTGACATTACCGTTCCGTATGACGACAACCTTGTAAAAGCCAAAATATATAAGAAAACGAAATATCTGGACCTGGTTCACGAGGTGACAGACATGTGCGGTAGTCTGCTGACTTGAGTTATTCCAGTAGTCGTCTCCGTGAACGGGTTAATTCTGGACCTCTCGGGTCATCTCAGATGACTGGCACTCCATGACGGAATGCCCCGGTCTCAAATGCAGAAGGCGGTGCTCCTCGATATTGCCCGAAGTGCCCGTCGGTTTCTTTTCCTTTCGCCCCTAACCCTCAGCCGTTTGATCTCCCCTGCCGAGGGCTTACATTTGGTTGGACATTTATTTATTTATGTATTACTTATCTTAGTATATTTGTATGTATATACTATGTTATATATTTATTCAGCCTAACTAGATGACAATACCTTATACCCAAAATTATAATAATAATAATAATGTTTATTTCTCCTCACAGAAATATCCTATGCATAATAAACCTTATAATTATTTAAATACAGGTATGTTCATACTCTACTAGTTTAGAATATGTGAAAAGCTGGCGTTCATATTACAAATCACCAGGTCCGTAAAACGTATTATAAGTGTCGACCCCAATAGGAAGGAAGGTAATGACAGAATGGGTGGAAATAAAATAAATTAGTTAGGAAAAAGAGTAACGGCATGCTCCGGTTTGATCTGTATAATTGGATGGTTGTAAAACCCTTAGGTGATGGGCCTATTGAAGAATATTATTCTACTACTATGAGGTACTGTACGTAGTAAAGAAATCACAATCGCTCGTGGTGAATCAGAGTACGATGTAAGCTGAGTTTATTAGTGTTCTTGAATGTCATAATTGACCCGCTTTCTATGCTCATTAAAACGAATATATAAGAAGGCAATGATTCACCATTTTGCATTTCTATGCCTTTCTTACAATGTTCAGTCATTATAAATATATAATCAGCAAACATCTTTCCGCGTAATAAAAAGCGAGACTCGAAAGTCCGAATTACTAAATTGAATCCGCAAATAAATATAGAAATTATACACCCCATTTAATACGTTCAAATGACCACAACCTTACACTCTGTACTTTAGCAAACAAAGTAAATCTACATAATGTAAAACCGTTTGAAGACATGAGGGCAACCTCCTAATGAATATGCATAAACGGTCCGCATGTTTATTGTGTTTACGCAAATTAGAAATGTTAGTTCCTTAATTGTAGTTAATTTTAAATGAAATTGGATTGCATTTTTATAATTTATGGATAATATTTTTTTTAACTAAACTTCAAAAAACTAAAGGTAAGAAAATAATTTCATAATGATTTCTTATATTTACGCGAACACTACACATTGAAATAATACTAGTTTTTACGGAATTTATCGCGTATATTTAACTTTTTTACCCGACGTTTCGAGAGCTTTACAGCACCCATGGTCACGGGAAGGACTGAGATGTTCAACGTCCAGCTGTCATAGTTAACCGCGGTTACCATAGATTAAAATTTAACTTTTGTTCCGATCTACACAGTATGAACTTATGGTATCATGGAGTCTTGCAGTTGTATGCTTTGGGTTGGGATTTAATT